GAAGTCAGCAGCTCGAATAACATCGAAGTACAGGTTTGCGACCAGTCTTTTCAGCTCCGCGGAAGTTCGTCGAGTTTTGACGACGTCGCCTTCAAGCTTCTGGAGAGCCTGCGCAAGCTGTTTGTATCGGGACTTCTTATTGTCGAATGCCTTCCACGCGGCTTCATCGAGAGATGGCGCCTTGTCGACGCTAGCTGGGCCTCCTATTTTGCAGACTCGCGACGTCTCAAACTGCATGAGGAAGCCCCTGGTAAAGTCCGGGACATCTCCTGCGACGTCATTCTGGCCCTTTGCAGGCGGGTGCAGTTTGACGCTGCGGCTCATCTCACGAGCACATCCACGAACTCGAATGACCGATGCTCTGATGCCGGCTTCCTTGCATGTCTTGTGTACCCGGTTTGCCGCATCGTCGCACGGCGCATTTACGTCAAGAAGATACAGAACCTTTGCAGGTCTGGTAGCGGTCTTGCCGTCAACTTCTTCTTGAATAGGGGCCGAGAGAGCCATTGCAGCGATGAATGCATTCAGTGCAGTCTTTCCAGCACCGGGGCATCCCAGGATTAGCGCCAGCCCTGCCGGGATATGTCGAAATTGCTCGTACACCTTCTTGTGGTCAGAATTGAGCCCTCTGTAGAGAGACTTGAGGTGGGCGGGGGTCTGAGGATTGCCCGCTGGGTTATCCATATGTGGCAGCTCTCTGAAGAGATCGACGTAGAAGGTAGGCGGTTTCCGGAAATCCAGCATGTAATCAAAGGTGTGGCGTGCCCTCTGTGCCAGCGCGCTCAGGTTTCTCTCACGCTGCATCAGCGTGGACAAAGCTTTCAGTTCGGTGTCATGAGTAACAAGCCGAACCGCAACGCGAATAGTGACCATGACAGCATTCCCAGAAGTCAAAGGGGGGTACTGAAGAGCACCAAAGCGCTGCGAAACCGCAATTTCTGCCAATGGGTGGTACCTCTCACGGCTGACAGGATCCTTCATGTATGGGGCGGTGACGTTGAAAGCCGCATGCCTGGCGTAGTCGTTGAAGATACTTCCGTTATCTTGGCCGTTGTCGAACACGTTGGGTATACGCTCGGCTTTCATCATGCCGGGATTGAAGACATGTCCACCAATCGTGAAATCATGCTTGAATCCGATATCACAAGCAGATTCCTCGGTTGGGAACACCTTGTCTTGGTCCGCCGGCAATTCGACGAGGACGAGCCAGCTGGTTTCTAAATCCGAAGCGATGAGACTGGAGGGTGGGGGCAGGGCATTCATGACCCAGGCATGAGTAGACTCTGTCCTGGTGTTGAATCGCCGATAGGTAGCCTCCTCATTGGCCATCTCAATGATGGTTCCTTCACGATGAGCCAGGGCGAATTCCTCTTGGTCTTTGAACGAATGAACCATTCGGGGGCCACAACAGCGGTTCTTTTCCTGTCAAACGGGTTAGCAGAGTTGGCAAATCTTGGCTATTACACATACCGCCATCGGGTCATCTGAGTCCTCATCGCTAGGTTCGAGTCCAGCCACTGCAGACGTAGAGAGGCGTCGAGGGTCGACGAAGAAGCTTGCTCCGGCAACTCCATCCTCGGGAGGCGTGAAAGGCATGGGCGCTGGCTCGCCGCTTTCTGAAGATGAAGCTGACGAAGGCAGCTCGATGTTCGCGGCTTGCTCAGTCTCGGTGAACTCGGCCACGAACTGCGTCCGCGCCGGAACAGACTCTGGGATCGGAAAGTGCGACCCCGCCGAATCACCATCAGTGTCGGTGGTCTTGAGGAGGCCAATCTCCGTCTCTCCAGAAATTTCTGCCATCTTGTGTTGATCAGCACAAAATTCAGCGTGAAGTAGTGAGGGATGATGATGCTGAACGACGAGGACGACAGACGATGACAGCCCAGGAGACCCCATGTCTTTACACCCAGGTAAGGTACCTTAGGTAGGTAGATGGAGGGGCTGGTTGTCACCTGCAGAAGGTGTCTGTCCCTCTCACTGCCTTCCTCATCGTTGCCGTCCATTGCGAAGAATATTAGGAAGTTACCTACCTTGGATATGGCTGTGAGGTCCAACTGCCGAGAAAAGCGCAAGAGTTGGCTTGGCAGACGCAAACAATGCCGAGTTTGATTTTGTGTCGTCAAAAAAGCGACAAAGACGTCGACAGAAAAACGCGAAAGTATAGGGATTGGAGAAGGTCACAACACCCACGAAGTCAGTGTTGTTGTGGGAAGGTAGACGGGGGGAGCAAGCTGGGCGGGGAAGAGTGTGCCCTGCCTGAACATGTGAGGTGGAAGAGGTACGTAAGTGGGAGGAGGAAAGTGGGATCAAAAGAGAAGGCAGGTAGCCGAAAAGTGTTGAAAAAGAGATAGGTCGGTCGCTTGATTTGAGAAAGCGCGATGCAGGTGGGATTTGGCTGGTCAGGTGCTGGAGGCAAAGAACGCAGCCAGATGGTTTTGAAGTGCGCTCTTCAAGTCGGGAAAAAGGCCGTTTGCTCCTGCCAAGTTGGACGCCGGCAGAGTGCGTCCTGGCCAACCCCGGATATCTCGACGCAGGGCAGGTAGGTATCTGGCAACAAGGCTGGATACAGATGGTATGAGGCAAGGTAGCGCGCAAAAAGAGAAGAAAGGAAAAAGGTCGACGATGACAGTAGAGAAAAATGGGGGAGAGAAATTCTTGCAGAGGTTGACTGCCAGCAAGCCGCGGAATTCTTCCCCTCGTGAAGTGCGTCTGGGGAGATTGTGGGCCGAAGTCGTTTGCAGTAAGACAAATAAAGTCCCGTCCTCGACTAAAGCTCGGGGAGGGGGGTAAATGAGAAAAGGAGAAGGCACGAGTGGTAGCTGCCTTTCGAAGAGATGAATTTACAGCTCGCCCAGCTACGGTGTGCCAAGTCCAGTGTCAGTGATTCAGAGAGGTTCAAAACTAGCGGTAAAAGGTCTACGGCAAACGGGACCCTCGGATGGCAGGAGCGAGACGGGAGCAATCGAACCTGCTGCCTCAAACATGCCGCTCAATACAAAATTTCGAAAGCCCTGACGGAATGACTTTTTGGTGCCCATAATTTGCGATACTACTACATGCTTGAGGTTCGGGAGCAAGCGGCCGGGACATCATTGCGGAGGACGCGAAACGTACGGCCTGACAGCCTCTTACATAGTCATTTGATCCTTCATTACCACAGTATTGAATGAGTTTCTACTGGGCGCATTTCCAATCAGTCTGAAATCCCTCACAGCCATCTAGCCCATATGCGGAGCTGAAATCTGCATAAAAGTTACATACATTCAGGCGTCTTCCTTCTGTCTTTCCACTACCATTTGGCCGCATACAGGTACTATTGGCCTAGGCAATTGGCTGACAGAGTAGTAAAGGCGAAAACTCACAGAAGGCTGAGAGCATCGAGATGAGACCGTCTCTCCTGTCGTGAAGGTCCACCGAAGGATCGTCATCTTTGATGTGAGAGTTTTAGTGCTAGTATGTGCCCTGACAGCCGAGGTTGAGTAACTTGAATTCCAAGGGTTTGCCATTTCATACGTGACAAAGACGTACTGAAAAACCAGAAAGTTCAAGTGAACATTCTCATGTCCTGGGGAGTATGGCGCTGGCTCTCTAGTGGACATATATTAATCTACCTCGATGATCTGCAGGTTCATCTAGCATTGTACTCTCATGATTTTGGACGGGAGTATGAAGGTCATTGAAGAATCATCCACTTGCAAGATATGGGTCGTCTGACGGGTCGCAGCATTGGAAGTGCTTATAGCGGAGGTAACTTCAGCCATCAACGATGTGTTGACCGTCGGACTAATCTTTGTGCCGGATGCTTCGTGTTGCTTATCCTGTGAGGCATCTGGCTTACGATAGAATACAGAAAGCAAAGGTCACTTCACCAACGAATCTTGGGAATGACGTGACGGGTAACAAATATGGAAGGCCTGAACTGCACGCAGATTAAAGTTAGATATCCCCCTATTGAGATAGAAGGGTCTGGAGAAGAACCTGTGCCGGAGATGGGGGGTCTCAGCCCAGGAGATGTTGCTTGTAACCACGGTGGCAGAAATGCCCGAAAGGCACACATGGAATGCCGCGACTGTCCCAAAGAAACCTAGTAAATCTAGAATCTGATCCAATATTTCTCTTATATCCTCATGTTTTAATCTCGAAATTGTTCTTCGGTCTCGGTGCTAAAAAAGGCTGGTTTGCCAAGCCAGGAAGCTTTGAGGATGAACAACCTCACCCGATGCTGTGTTTGCGTCCTTTCCATCTGCTTTGAGGACTTCTCAACTCGTGTTTTGGTCTCTTGAGTGATCAAATTTGCCGTCTCTCACTACTCGAAGGCACGTTGGTCTCATGGGGAGAGAGAAGTCGACCTTCTCAGGTGGATAATGTGTTTATACCTACCACCGACCGTCAAATCGGCGGGAGGTATCGCATGATCCGCAATGATGTCATTCGTCTAGTTGGAAGAGACATGTCCTTGACAGATTCTTCTCTCAGCCTGATATGCTCGTATCTGGGTCTACATTGAGGCATACAAAATCAGGCTGCGCCTGCACCCCTGCCACACCCTCATGTGCGTGTAAGCCACATTATAAACTTGGTTCAAACGATTGGTTCCCAGACATTGATGTAAATAAGAATGCAGCACAATGTCCTGCTAAGCTAATTCCAGCTGAGAACACCCGCTTCATTACGATGTATTACCTCCAATAGAGTGTGGGCTTGGGTGGCACAACATGCTGGCCAGCGGCGTTGAGCCGCGTTCCACTCATCCTTCTTCTCTATCGACCAAAGCCAAGACGCTTTAGGCAGCTCTAAACTATGCCCAGATAACATTCGACTTTGTTTTGCCCCCCCCCCCCCCCCCCCCCCCGGGTTTGTACGAACCTCCTTATAACCAAGAGATATGTCCGCTCTCCCGCGGCTGGCCGATTACAGCCTCGTTTTTCTGTTTTCCAAGTTCACCGCAGTCAACAAGAGAAAAAGAGGAGGAAAAGCGAGACACGCAACGCCTGGCCAAAATGAAATTATTCGCAAGAGATGATACGGTGGTACCGGCCCCATGCTTCTCCATTTGCAGTATGTTCGACATCGTACCCGCGCTCATCCAAAACAGCCGCCCTCTCTAATCCATTTGGCATAGATGATTGCTACGTAGAGGTCCAGACCATTGGGGAAAATCCTGAGGTATGTTCAACGGGCTCAACATTTCAGGAATGCTATTCGAGATGCAACGCATGTATAGATGCCAATTCAGCCGACGCGAACAGCACAATCCAGGCTTATCTCGACCCCAAGTTCAGGCAGTATCTTGACTATTGTTCGGGAAGTGCGCCAACTTCCGCCTCCCCCACCACCTCCACCACCGCCTTCCCAGATATTCCAGCTTCGATGTTAACGACTGTCACAATGCGTCTGCTAATGCCTGTCACTGGCCTCGACGGCAAGATCGCCGCCTCTCGTTTTATGCCTACCACAATCACGAGAGAGCGGGATGAAGCTACTAGCTCTCTTACAGTAACATCACTATCCGTTACCTCCGGAGTTGCGTCAGCCAGCGGCGTAGCATCATTACAACCGACGGATGAAAGTACGTCAGCGTTTGGTCTTTGTTTTGGGCATTAAGCATTCAAGCTGATCGAATATAACCCAGCGCCGTCTGAGAAAAGTAACGTCTGGATCGCCGGCCCTATTGTAGGTGCAATCTGCGTGGTTGGTCTTGCCCTCGGAGGCTTCTGGTTCTTGTGGCGACGGAAAAGACAAAGAGGTGTACAACCAGCGGTTAAGGATGGTGAGGGAAAGAGCAAGTTTGAAAAGGCCGAGCTGCACGCAGACGATGTTCCCAAATCGCCCCCAATGGAATTAGAAGGTTCGTATCCGACACCTGTGCCGGAGATGGATGTGAACGAGGTACCAGCTCAGGAAATGCTGGTTCCAGAGAAGGACAGGCAGATGGTGACCGAGATGCCAGAGAGACATACATGAGGGCAATGTGAGACAGGATTTCATGGAAGTCCATAGGGTGGCCGCATAACACGGGCTTCTGCGGAGTTTTGGGTTGTTGGAAGCCCACGTATATCACTGCATAGGTACTCGTACTGTACTATCTAACTCAAGCAACTATATGCACCCACCCAAATCTCCTGGCCGAAGTTTGGTGACTCTATGACAAGCTAGTACATCTCGAGTCTTCCTGCGTCGGACTAACAGCCTAAACAAGGTTTCGAGTGACACGATAACTGACATCTCGGTGACACGTAGGTTGAAGCCCATTCTAGACCTTTCGCTTGGATGGCATGGCACATTTCTCCTTTCTTTCGATGTATTCAAGTTTCTTCTTCATGCTAACATACTTCTTGATGGCTGGAGACTCTATGCGTCGCATGTCGCGCTTTTCTGTCGCCCTCTCTGTCGTTCTCGCCGTCCGTTCTGTCAATTAACAACGCCATCATCGTCTGCCCTAGTCTGAAAAAGTGGGAATTCGATAGAACACGCACTCTTCAGGCACTGCAAATTCTCAGCGCGTTTGTTCCAAGCCGTCAAACTTCAATCAACGGTCGAGAGCACAGGTTTCGGCAATTTGCTGATATGTCCGTCACGCCAGAAGACCCAACAATCACCTCCGCGTCTCCATCTGCTTCCAATGGATACGAAACAGCAACTTTTGTCTCCAGGGAGACCGAGTCACCAATCTCATGCTGGTTCATGTGTAGTATATTCTTTGAAATGGTTCCTTTCCGCTCGCGACTAATAGAGTCACCATAGATTACTGCTACAAAGTGGCACAGATAATTGGGACGATACCATCGCTCTGCTTCTCCGAGTCTCTTTTCAAAGAATGTTTCAACGAATGCGCAGAATGCGCGGTGAGCGCGGTCGAAGTCCCGAAACCCTCACTGAGCGAGGTCTTTGAAGTCTTCAAGCCATACACGGACTACTGCGCGGGACCCGGCATCATAAGCTCATACCCTCAGTCGTTGCTGACAACCGCTGTCCGCACACAAATCTTCGCCCTTACCGGGTTCGGTAGTACTGAGCCTGGCTACCCCGAGATCGTAATAGCCACAATTACCGAAATGAGACCTGGAGTGTTCACCCCGCCGGCTACCTCGCAGCCTACCTCGCAACCAGTGGAGTCAACTGCTTCAGGTGCGCCGGAGAATACTGTTTCCTAATTTTTCGATGCGTTCCGCTTCTGACAGAATATAAAATGAACAGGTTTGTCCTCTGCAGGCGTAGTTGGAGCCATCGTAGGCGGAACAAGTTTTATGCTACTCTTCGCTGCCGGCATGTGGTCCTTGAGGCGGAGAAGAAAGCGGAAAGTAACCCCATCGGACGCAGTAGACGATAAGAGAGGATTCGAAAAACCGCAACTCCATTCAGACTGTATCCCTCGCCTGCCTGCCATCGAACTGGAAGGCTCATACCCTGAAGTCATTCCTGAAATAGGCGCAAACGAGATTGCGGCACAGGAGATGTTGGGCTCGGAGGAAATATCTACTGTAGAGATGCCCAGTAGATCAGCATGACGTGAGCCAGACTGGACAGAGTAGCTGATGGAGAACGCTTGTTTTTCACAGGGAAACCTGTGACCGGTTGGTTTTCAAAGACGTCTCCTTTTCTTTCCAGTGGAAAAATAACGATGAAATCGAGGATACAGGCAAAACAAAACGCGGGGGCAACGGATATTGTAACGCGAACGATGACGATGAGGCTGATTGTAATAACATGAGCAGTGACGAGGAGAAACATGGAAGCGGCGAAAACGGAAGAAGAAGAGGGGACAGGATCAAATAAAGGAGTGACCAAGGGGCGACGGGGCTTGGAATAAACAGCCAAATGTACTTCGGCCTCGTTTCTTCTCCTTCTGCCAGTACATAACCTGATTCGCATGCGTGTCATCATCGACATGCTTGATAAAATAAGCGTGTGTCAACACATCTGTCATCTTACGTCCTATCGAGCAGCAGAAATAAAGAGATTCATACATTGAACTACCTTGGCAGAAAGTACGTGCTCTGAAACCACGCAGGCGATGACCACTCAGCTGAGATCAAAGGTGGCACGGCATTTTCGAGATGATCTATCTTCGCGAAACCTCATTTTGGTTATTCTGTCTCGCGTCAGTGACACTCGATCAGCCCAATAGAAACATCTCATGCTTGAGCCACGGGGAAATTGCACTACATTGACCGGCTTGGCGTTGGCAACAGTGCCCCTTAAGACCTCCGCAGTCACCTTGTCCGTCAGACACTCGTCAAACTCCATCTCTTTTTCGACACAACCCCCAGTGCCTGCTCCAAATTACGCGATAATTTACAAAAAGTCCGCTAGTCAATTGGGCCACGAGACATTTCCACAGCGCGAAGGTCAGTGAATAGCTCTTATCACCGAAACCGGGGCATCTGATTCATGAACAGCAGCAACAACGATGACAACAACTACAAGCACAACGACCACCGACAAGATCCAACCTCCGGCCATCTGTTACTCTCCTTGCGGCAAGTCTTAGGTGACTCCAATCCGAATGTATGAAGAGGTCTAATCTTCTGACCAGACGATGCATACATCGAAGCTCAGATGGTCGGCAAAACGCCTCTGATTTGTAATTCAAGTTCAGCGTTCAAAGAAAGCTATCAGATTTGCCAGGATTGTTTAGAAACAAATGTCGAAGACACCAAATTGTTCAAGAGTTGGATTTCTTCGAAGTTCGAAGAATGGCTAGAGTTTTGTAATGGGAAACCCCCTATCACGATGACAACCAGAACTTTTCAGTCGACATTTGTGATGTCGAACGTAGTTGGGAAATTGACGAGGAGAGTCGAAACATACACAACGACATATGAATTGCCGAGAACGACGACGCGATCCACTGTCGCGTCTTCCGCATCACTAAGCAGCACTGTGGTATCACCGACACGGCCAATCGAGACAAGTATGTTCAGAGTTTCTGCAATACCTCGCTCTGGAGACTGACCGGTTTCAAAAATAGAAGCTCCAGCTTCAGGGAACAACGCCTGGATTGCTGGTCCCGTTGTGGGCACCACATGCGCAATCATTCTCCTCTTCTTCGGATGGTGGTTTCTGAGACGACGTAGGCGGCATGAGGCCTTTGTGCCAACTTCAAAAAATGCCGGCCCCGATAAGGAGGATAGGGATAGATTTGAGAAGGCCGAACTTCACGCTGACGATGCACCCAAAATCCCTCCGACAGAACTAGAAGGCTCGTATCCGGATCCTGTCCCCGAGATGGGTGCCAATGAGATCGCGGCGCAGGAGATGCTGAGCTCTGAGCTCAGGTCGCCCGTGGAGATGCCAGAACGACAGGCAACGTAAGCTTCGTGCTGTGAAGATAGGAGAACTAGTAGATATCAGTTGCGTCTGGCAGGATAAGCTTGGTCGTGAGACTAAAACACAGATATGTGTGAACATGCGTGGCGCTTGTACAAAGAATTGGAGCTTTCAGATGATCACAGTCAGCTACAAACAGCGCATTAGCAGGATCACGGGGACGGAGAACATGAGAACACGGGAATGATGCCTTTCCCAACTTGGTTGCCTTTCCCAAATAACTTGATCTTCGTTTCTTCGACTCCCTACAGAGGTGTGGTATCATATTCGTTCCAAGAGAAAGCCGCACCATATCAACCAATGATCTCGTCGCGTCTCCTGCTCGACCCGGTGAACTGCAAGTTCTCATTGCCAGCAACACCAGTCAGAACATTTCCAATACCGTTGACGTCGCCGGTGCCGCCCTGCATGATGGTCGCGTAGTTGTCCGCAATGAGCTGAATTCCCGAAACGAAACCCTGCTCGTCGAACGCGCAGTGGCCGCCGTTGGGCGAGTTGTTGACCGTCTGCTTCGCGTTCAATGCCTGCGCGTTCAGCCCGCCGCTGGTGCCGATCTGCTCGTACGCCTTGATGGCCGCGGGGATGGACTGCTGCAGGTTCGACAGCTCCTGCTTCGTGCTCTGGAAGTGGATGCGCGTGTTGGCGATCGCAGCGGGGTCCTGGACGTTAACCTGGGGCTCGAGGCCGCCGCAGTTGAGCAGCACGCCGTTGCCCGCGAAGTTCTGCATGTGCGCGGGCATGAAGAAGCCAGAGAGCATGAGCGAGCCGCCGGAGACGCCCGTGAAGAAGACGTTGGACTGGTTGAAGGCCATCATCTGCGGCAGCGTCTGCTGGATGAGGTCGTTGACGGCCTGGGAGTGGGCGACGCCGTCGGTGCGCTGGAGGCCTTGGCCACCACCCCAGAAGAGGTTCGGGTCGGGCGCGAGGACGGCGACGCCGGCGAGGTTCTGCTGGACGCCCTGGTTCGGCATGTCGAAGAAGGATTGGCCACCGTCGCCGTGGAGGAGGACGTTCAGGCCGAGGGTGCCCTGGGCACCGGGCTGGGCGGCAGCGCCGGGGACGCCGCTTGCTGCGGTGAATTGCTCGGCGGGACCGGAGATCTTGAAGCGAAGGTCGAGGCCACTTAAGGTTGTTAGAGACCACACATGACTTAAATGGGTTCATCATCTTCATATACTTACTTGACGTTGGCGGTCATGTCGAGAATCATGGATCCATCAGTGGCACGCGAGATTCCCTGCGGCACCCTCGCGGCCTGCTGCTGTGCCGTCTGCCTGTTTCCTCGTCCGTTTCCTTTTCCTCGGTTCTGCGGCGCGGCATCGGTCAGGCTCAGAAAGCTGAGCACCACCGCCAGGGCGGCGACTGGGGAGCGGACGGTCAACATCCTGGGCGAAAGAGAAGTGAAAGTGATATTAAAGATATCGAAGATTAAAGAAAGAAGGGTTTGCTGGCTGCCAAGCTCGCGGCGCGTCGCTCTCCCACGAAGATCAAGAAAGGAAATATCTTGGAACTCTTTTTGGTGTTTTCGGAATTTCCCAGAAACCCGGGGAAATCAAGAGTCAAGAAAAATAATGGACGGGTCGGGGGTGGCAGGTTAGGTTTATCTTAAGGCGGGCGAAAAAGGATAAACGGTCTTGCTGCACGAGCACATCCCGTCATGGGCATGGGTTGCAGCCGTCCGAATGGGGGCACGGGGGTCAACCAAAACCGGGGGATGGGTTGGCGAACCTGGGGCCCAGTCATGTTGCTTGTTCAGTATGCCCTTCAAAGGAGAACATGTCTTCAGGCTAAAGGCGAGCCATACAGGCCCGTCACGAAGCGAACCATCTCAAATCGACGGGCGAAGGACCAGGGACGAAAGAAGGGGATAAGCTTGTGTTGTCGCTGTTTCGCCTGGACTCGGTTGTGTGTGAGAGTTGGGACAAGTCAGTATGGGTCTGATCGCCCGCTGGTTGGTGGGAGGTTGTTTGAGGCTCCCGAGGAGTTGAAGTGCGAACGGCTGTAGTCAGCATGCAAAACACTTGAAGCGAGCACTTTTGTCCGTAGGTTCGGGAGCCTTGGACGAATCAGAGCATCGTGCTTTCCACTCGCGAACATGGGCTGGGTTGTCGGGAGGAAGAGCCAGCCGCGGGCTAGCGTGTATTGTGCCTGACCGACTTGCGAATTCCTCAACTGCGTTTCGCTTGGCGCGTTGCTCCCGAGTCGGGAGCGATGGGATCCACGGTGCAAGAAGGTGTCGCAGACGTTTGAGGTTGTCGACGAAACCGACCCCGGGCGCTGGGTGCACCCCTGTCTGCCATCGCTCGGGGCATGTCGCCTCAGACCCCGGTCCGGGGGCCTGGCGCCCCCACATTCTTGTGTGTCTCTGCGAATGGGATCGTGTCTTTTCTACCCTTCTTGCTGCTTGTTCTGTGGATTGCTTCCATGCTATTTCCTCCTGCCGCGGGATATTTGATGATCGGTCCAGGGCTTGTTTACGCCTCCTGCGACTTTCTGGTGGCTTGGTGTTTTGGATCGTCGGCTGAGGAGGGATGCTAAGAATACTAAGCATTGAGGCTCGTGGAGCCTATGGGGTTCGGTTGGCGAGTCTCGAGGACTTTAGTGCGATTGACGATCAGAGTTGATGACGAATGGTGTTTTCGCATTTTAAGTTCCGGTGTTGGAAAACGGCCTGGCCGAAAGAAATAAGCTCAGCGTCGTTCAGCAATGTACCTTGTTTTCTGTTCGACTTCCGGCGCTTGCTGACAGTTCACGGGAAGCAAGGGGCTCGGACGCACGTGGTTTCGGAACCGCCAATCTGAACTCGCATTCAGCAGAAACAGCA